GTGAGTGTTGGAGATCGCAGAAACTGATATATATATATATAATATATATATATATATATCTGTATACACCCTAGAATGTCCTAGACTCTATAGACTGCTGAAAACTACGGGGCATAAAGCAGCAAAAGTGGGGTATACTTGCAGAATCTGACGTCTAAATCCAGGAATGTCGTGGCAATTGCTGGCAGGATTTCGCTGATAATCATGTTATTGCTTTGTTCAGTGATACTTTACAGCTTGATAATAAAAGGGCAAACTAGTCATAAACACATGCGTTTAACAGAAGTGACGGCAGCGTCGCGACTTGGGCCCGGCCCGTTTTTCCAGCCCTCCCAGAAACCCCCTTCCCGACCCTCCTCCCCAACGCCCGAGACCAGTCACGGCCGGACCTGGGACCCGTGGGGACAACTTTGAACCCACGCAGCCCGCACCCTAAACCCTAAACCCTAAACCCCCCTCGTACCAGGAACCCCGCCGAGGCAAGTCCGAGAGTGAGTACTGAAACCCCTAAACCCTAAACCCCTAACCCCTAAACCCTCTAAACCCAAAACCTTAAAACCCCTGGAACAACACCTTTCGAACCACCAAAGATTCGGATGGGGCTCTGTTGGGGTGTGGCACCAATTTCGTTCGTCGTTGGTCGCAGGGGTTGTCAGGTCCGCATGTCAGAAATGACCTGGGGAAAGTGCGATTTCGGACCAGAGGAAACGCACCAGATTTACGCCAAGGGTTTTGCACCGGAGTATGGGCCTAGCTTAAGCATTCCAGCACTTATTGAACGTATATACCTACAGATCTAGGAGGAGATAGAGATACGACAAACAGATAGAGATAGGACAGGACATAGATATAGATGAATTCGCATGTCGACCTGGTAGCCTCACAGTCCTTCATTCGTTCCTCGATGTTCTTTTTGCTGTCATCGTTCAGGCCCTCCTGTGGCAAAGGGTAAGAGCAAAGGCAAAGGCGCCAGCCGATGGCTGTTGAGATGATGTGCCAACCCAACTTGCTGGCGTCCGCGAGGCAAGGGAAAGCAGTGGCGAAAGTCGGAGGAGTAAGGCGGGCGGGCGCGGTTTAGCACATGGCCTTTGTTGCCCTGCGTCAAGGATCACTTCATTGGTAGTTGTGGCCAGACATCGCTGAGTTTGGAGCCGGGCTTCGGATTCGGATGATTCGGCTTCAGGTTAAACTTGGAACTGAGATACAGACCAGGACATAAGGTGTTGCAGCCAAAGCCAAGCGAACTCTGTTGAGCGCACATGTTATCAACATGCACCGCAGTTCAATATTTCTGCAGCGGGCCACATGCGGTTCTTTCTACAAGTGTTGGTTGCCACCTGCTGCATTCTCCAGAGACTTGCTCTTCACCGATGCAGGCCAGTCCCGCCGGCCTTTCCGAACCGTTTCAACCACCACGTATCAGGCACGTCCACCTGGATCGTATTGCCGAGCGCGACAAAAAGCCGATGCGGAGTGAACTGGCTGAAGCAGCGTCATGTTGAGGCTTGTTTGCCGTCCGCATGTGTTCTTGCAGGTTTCACTAGGGTTGGACATTCAGTGCAAGCCATGGGCTGTTCAGTTCTGGGTTCTGGAAAGCCGCTGCGCCATGTAGAGTCAACTCTCACGAGACTTTGATTTGAAAGGGCTTCCACGAATGTAAATGCCTCGTATGCCGTATGGAATGTGGGTCCAGCGCTGGACATCTGGCAGAGCCTCTGCGGGAGCAAAGCTCGGCTGTCACTGAAAGAGCCGGTGTTTTTGGAATGCACGAGCTGAGTTCGAGCCCAGGCCTTTGCAGCAGCTGCCCGGCAAGCTGTTGAGGCGATCGGCGGCCCAGACGAGTGCGTGTGGCGCGAGGCTTCGGGGTCTGTTGCGTTGTTCTCGGTTGTGAACGGAATCCGATGCACAGCATTGCCAAAAAGAAGAACCTCTCTGTTCCAGCCATGTGCAAGGGTCAGATGAGTCAGATGTAGTGACATCCGCCACGCTGCTGCGCCATGTCGCCTTTGGATTGGGCCAGCTTGGGGGTGGTCGCTTGCCGCGATGGGACCTCGGCGATGATGGACGCAGCTGGAATCCGTGGCATCTGCAAAGCGCACCTCCTGGCAGGAGACCATATTTATGCGCCTCTGCCTCTACCGGTGCATTTTTTGGTTGCGATCATGTCTTGCCTGGGGAAAGTTTTCAGTGCACAAGGCATGGAAGCTGGGTTGGACGTACAATCTTCACGGCATAGTTGTCCACACCCAGCCTTGCTCCAAAGACTGCGTGCACGACACCCTCAACTGCTGCGCTGTGGTGCGCTTCAAGCCACCAGCAGCAGCCGAGCCAGGCCGAATCGAAGTGTCGCTTGGTTGCGGCTTCTTTGAACAAGGCATCATGGCACACGTTCTCTACTAATTACTTCATTCTCTTTCAGTGGCCGAGCGATGCCCTAAGGTGCTCTCTGGCTGCTTTCGCCCAAGGCAGAGAAGTACACAGATGCCAGTACGGCATTTCGCTGCTCGGGCTTAGCCGGGAGTGTCCAGTATGTCGAAGTCGACGTCGGCTGTGTCAAGACGAACCTTCAGGCATGGCCAGTTCTTGCTCTACAGATCGGGAACCTGCTCGACCCAAGCGGAAGATCCAAGGCTGGACCTGGCGCACACGCAAACGCAAACAGCAAGCATCAAGCATTCTCCCAGGCCTCTTACGGTCTTACGGGCACTCAGCGTGGTCGCATTAGGTGAAGATGGTGGCAACGAGGCCAAGCCGTTTCTGTGTTCGATGGTTGATCCGTCTCATCGATCCGCGGTGTTGCCGCCATGAAGGTGGAGTACAACCTCCTCGTGAAAAACAGTGAGCTGCTCGCTCGCTGGTGCAAGCATCCTGGCTACACTACGTTGCTATCTTGCTCTCGAAGCCTCTGTTGCACCAGGTTGGGGGAAGCTTCTGGAGTTCGCCGATTTCTCTCGGCGGAGACTGCGCGATCCCTCCAGACGTCCCGCGGCCGATTCATTAGGCTGGGTCTCGCCGCCACCGTGGCTACTGCCGGCACCACGGTCTTGGCCAAGAGTGCAATGAGCACCGGGGCCGGAGCAGCAGCCTTGGCTGACGCAGCTGTGATCGGGTCCAGCACGGCGCTGAGCTTGAGAAGTGCATTTCGCCAGCTGGCCGTCGACGCGCTGCGGACACCAACCCGGGCGCAAGAAACGCTGAGACTGGCGAGGGATGCTGCCGAACGAACAGGACTCACGCAGACCCTGAAGCTCGACAGCAAGGCTCTACTGTAGCAGGTGGAACAGCACACGATCGTGAGAGATTCGTAGCCGTGCAGCGACAGGTCATAGGTTCCCATTCGATAAATTAGCCGGCCTGCTCACGGATTCTTGCCTCGAGGTTCCCATCTGTGCAGGGCCTCGGGCGTGAAGAGCATTTCGAAGTCCAGTGTCATGTGCTTGGATCCTTCGTGAATGCAGCTCGGCCTGGCAGAGACGTGAGACACGACAGACGAAGAGTGTCCGAGTGTGGTTGTGAGGCCTGGCTTTCAGAGCTGCCGGCATCAACACCTGCAGGGCTGCACCTGGACTCGGCGGTGAGCTCTGGCCTCAATGAAAGTAAGTCGGTGAGAGGCAGAATTTCGCAGAAGCCGGTTGAAGCTTTAAGACCGTCTCGGTGCAGAGGCTACCGGAACTTGACCGAAATCCTAGTGGATGTGCTGGAAGCTGGAAGCCCACGCGATACGCAGCAGTGTGCCGAGCTCGTCCAGATCTTCTTCGACACGTTCAAAGAGGATGGAGTCGTAGGGTGTCCGAATCAGAGCATGGCCCGCCTCGGAGCTTAGGCTTAGTCCATTAATCGGCCTCCCCGAAACGCGGGAAACTGGCTGCTTCGAAAGGGTTCAGGGCTCGCGGAAGCCTGCCCTTGCCCGATGCCCCAAAGCGGGCCATGCCGACACCGAGAAGCATCGAGAGTCTAGGATGGCTGTGTGGCACAGTGCTGTGCTGACCGACGCACGAGCTTCCCCAGCAGAACGCACATTGGGTGCAGGCAGCTCGTGGCCATGCAGGTCACCAGACTTGGGAAGAGATCGTTCAGGCTGCTCTATCGCAGTGTCTCACTCTGCACCTTGCAGCGGCAGCTTGGCACTTGTGGCAGGCCGCATTGTCCTGGAAGGATGTGGCAGACTCCGAGCTTTTTATTGCTGTGCATGTGCCGAGCGCCCTGTATCGAAAAACACGAAGAACTAGGTTTCGGGACATCTGCTGGAAGCTCAGGTTCTCGATGCTTTCCTGGGCGCCAATGTGCGCCTTCCGCCGTGCCGGCTAGGGATTCACATTACCAGACATGCACGAACCCGCATGGGCAGCTTGCATGGCAGGTGCGTGCCATTCGGTCACGGCAAACGCTTTCGAACTCTGGGAGCGCTGCCCAGAAAGGGGATTTTAGTGGGACAGACGCGAAGGGACGCTGGGATCCGAGGCTGGCCAGCCGCAGCAACACGTTGCCCTCAGCTGGGTGCGACTTCGCTCTGTTGGCACTGTGCTGCCACGTCTTTGGGATGACTCCGGACAGGTTCGTGTACCCATAACCCGGCAGAGCGAGTGCCTGCGTTTCTTGGGTCAGCACTGTCGCAACGCTGAGCTCTCAAGGTCTTTGGAGATTTTCTGAGGTCTGTAGAGTCAGAGATGGCAGTTGAGGCTCGACAGCTGACCATCTGTGACACCACTCGCTTCGGTGAACGGCCCGCCGCTTCCAGACGCTCTGCGAATCCGTGCAACTTCTCGATGTGGCAGGCAATTGCTCCGCCTGGTCTGCGGCATGCGTTTGTTGGAGTCCTTGGAGGTAGCGGGACATCCAAAGCGGAAGCGGAAGTTCAGAGACTCCGAAATCAAAATGCCTTAGTCGCAGGTGGATGCATCCTCCTTCGGAGGGGATTTCCCGGAACCGCAGAGGCTCTTAGACAGCTTCTGGCTCAGCTCTGCATGTCCTCACAATGGAGCCGGGGCTTCTGCGCGCCTTGCGACTGAGGATTGGCCAAGTATTGCCCTCGCCTGCAGCACCTGGTGTCCTCCTCAGGAAAGGAAAAGGGGGAGCTTTCAAGCTTCGCACCTTGTTCTCGGCAGGCACTCAGCTTCCGACCCGAGAATCCTTCCTGCCGCACCTCCTTGGAGGCCGGAGCCTGAAAGTGGGCCATGCTGTAGGCCTGTATACGGTCTGGACTAGTGGCCTTTTTTGGGGCAGTGCGCCTTTTTTGGCCGAGTTGCGAGCCCTGGCCTGGCTGGGGCGGCGTCTGCTCACGCTGGACCTGGGCCTGAAACTCAGCGCAGCGAACGCGGGGCGATCCGAGTGGGCCCTTGATGGCCTTTGCCTTGGTGCCTTACTTCCCCTGGCAGTCAGCTCAGGGGCGGTCGCGATTCGGGTTTGGGGCGGCACTCGCACTATCGCTGCGTCCGCATCCGAGCCCGAAGTGTTGCCAGATGTAGTGAGGGTGCGACCGACCCCCCTCTTCGCACAGAGGTGCTGCCCGCTGTTGCAGCGCATCCGACTCATGAGCTTTTACCGCTATCGTTTCAGTTGAAAGCAGCAGTTTCGGGCAGAGTAAGGCCTTTGTGCGCAGCTGTGTCAGCAGTCTGATCCACGAGACGTCCTCAACTCACATCATCTTCGAAGATCCCGATTTCATTGCTTTCAGGTGAAATGCTGACAGCGACAAAGATCTTGACTAAGGCCGTGGATCCTGTCGACATAGCCCGCGGTTGCAGCGACATCCAGGACCAAGCCCGACGCCATGTTGCAAGGGCTTGTGCATGTCGTGCAGGACTTGGATCTTGCTCCCGTAGACTGGGGCAACAAAATCGTGGAGGACTTTACGACGCAGGCGAGGGGGTGTGAAGATCAGCATGGGCAACATATATTTATGCTCCTGCTACTGCCACTGCCACTGCCACTGCCACTGCAACTGCTACTTCTGCTGCTTCTGCTACTACTACCACGACTGCAGCTGCTACTGCTGCTGACTCTACTACAACCGATACTGCTACTGCTACTGCTGCTGCTACTGCTACTAGTATTGCAGTACTAGAACTAGAACCAGAACTCGAAGCTATGGTATAAGCGCCAATGACAGGGCTAGCATTGATAGTATTAGGCGTAAGTTCATTGTTCAATGCACAGAAACGAACAACCGAGAACGATCTTCAACATCATCGCTACCCCACCACAACAAGAGCAGAACACGATCAACATCAACAATATCAACAGCGAGCTTGCGAGATCGTATGGCAGCTTTTCGCAGCAGAAAATCGCAAGATGCCCGATGCTGCACGAGGCACCGGGATTGAGACGATTGGTTCTCCGTCATGTTGCGCCGGAAAGCTCAGTGTACTGTGGTAATTAACCATTCTGGTAAACGATGGTGTCTACATGCCTTCCCTTCTTGCACCAGAGGCGGTTTCTATTTTCGCGGTGTATTGCCAGCAAGTGCTTCAAGATTCAAGATTGAAGGGGCCAGCAGACCTAGGGCCCTGGGCTTTTCAGCAATGCCTTTGGCAGGATGTGAGCAATTGTCAAAGTCATTGTCCCTCAATGCGGCACCCTACAGTGTGGGCATCCCACAAAGAGACACTTAGTGGAAGTTAGCAGGTACAGCTGGCACGAGGCTGCTCGGAGCAGTTTCCCTCATAGGCCACATCATTCTCAGGCTTGACGCGACAGCAACGCTCTTGGCTCCTTTAGTGGCACTTGGCAGAGCCAGTCAGGCCCGAGATGCACGGTCAGCGGGGCACTGGCCTTTGTGCTCAATGTTGCAGGTGGGTGGCCTTGTCAACCTCCATTTGGCACTGCATGCCAGATCGGTGCTGCGGCTTAAGCTAATCATGCAGCCAGATACATCTGATGCTTCGCATAGTTTGGCCCGAGGATACAGGCAGAGCCCTTTTCTGGTTGGAGGCATCAGTAATCTGCTCATTTTTGCGCGTACTGCATTGACGGTTGCTTTACCTTAAACAGGCGATCTCGAAATTGAAGCAGTTGAGATCCCTCTGCCTGGACTATGCTGGGTTCTCAGACAAAAGACATATATCCAGAACGCAGGGTTGGCGATTCGACTCACAGTTTACTTGACGACATACAACCTACGAAGAGCTTGCGGTCCAATGTGTCCAACTTCGGCTTGCATTTAGCATGTGGCACATAAGAGATTCGCATTGAGGCTGCGCCCCTCACCCTCAAGGACATTTTGACCTCGCTGACGTCGTCTAGCAGTGCCCCCAGCAAGACTTAGCCAGGCAACTGTTCGTTTCAATATTTAGCATCGAGGCTTCCGCTTGCAACGCCCGTGCATGGGCTAGGAACGACTAGCCGACCAGCCTGCCAGGTGATGGTCACTGCAGCTTGATGTCCCTGACAGTGCATGGCTGTGGCACCCTGAAGCTTAACTCGGGGGCATGTTCGGTTTTTCCGTCTGCTCATGGTGAGGCCATGGAGTCGACGATGATGCGCTGAATCATCTTGCGGCGCGTGCTCCGAAGCGCCTCGGCTTTTGGGTGTCTCCTTTCAGAGCTACACCATTCCAGCCACCAGCGTGTGAAGACCCGATCCCCATCCGGCTCAGGCTGGAGCAGGCCCGAGCCCGAGGTCAACGGCTTCACGACGTTTGCTTGGCGCTCGCTTCCAGGTGCGCCTTTTCCCGGACTCGTGGCGGCAGGTTGGCAGTGTCACTTACGGACTGCGCGTTCTCGCCCGGGCCTCGCGACGGGAAAAAGCGGAAGAAGAGGGCTTTTCTCGGCGCCGAGGTGGAGCAGCTCGCGCTCCGGAGCTTAGCACTCAGCTCGCCAGACCCTCGAACTCGAACCTTGCCTCGTCCCTCCTCGCATCTTTTCGCCTTGGTCAGTCCAAGGCTGTCGCCCCTTGACGGGAACCAGGCATCCGGCCTTGCCTGCGATATCCTGCAATGTAGCGCCAAAATCAGAAGCACCCACACCACTTGTGTCTTTGAAGTGGCTCGAGGATGAGGGCCAAAGGCCGTAGATTTAGAGTCACACAGAGCCAAAGTTAGGCCCGCTACAGGGGAGGAGCAGCTTGCACCTGCCCGAATGGGGCGGTGGGCCGCATGCTGCAGCTGGTGACCGAGCTTCCTGGGCTTTTTCGCAGAGGGGCAGACGTGGACGCATCGGATGCATCGGACGGGGCAACTCCGGGCTCCCGGCGGCTGTTCGAGGATCCCTTCGACGAGTGCGAGTACCGGCTGCGGAGGTTGGAAGACTTCGTGGCGGAGCTCAGCCGGAAAGGCTGGGATTCTCCGGAGACACCCGCCATCGCCACGAAGAGGCATCACGCGGAATCTGCCTTCTTGCAGGCAGTGCCGGACAAGGGCCTGGAGATGCACCAGGTCTGGAAGACGGCCTGGGAGTTCTGCCGCAGCGACTGCAAGGAGTGCAAGGACGAAGCACTGGTCCGGCACATGGCCCTCCAAGCGGTCTGTCGCCGTTTTGCTGTGGTCGAATACTGGCTGCGGGAACGCCTGGCGAACTTGAAGCCGCAACGCAAGGACTTAGTGGTCTTCTTGCCTGTGCTGCGGGCAGAACTGGAGAAGTTGAAAGCAGTGCTGGCAGCGGTCACCGCAGGCTCCTCGGGAGCAGAGGCGCTCACCGCCAAGGCACTTGCGGCGCGCGACAGGGCCGAAGCCCGCTACGCTGCGGCTGCGGCGAGCGTGACTTCCTTGGCGCAGAGGGGCCCCAACCCGCAGCCGCAGCCGCAGCGCCCATCGCCGTCGTCGCCGTCACTGCCGTCGTCAGTTCCATCCCCTGGCCAAAGCTCGCCGTCGCCGCAGATCTCGCCATTACCTCCCATCCAGCCGCCGTCTTCGGCCGTAGAAGGCATTCAGAGGTGGGTGGAAAGCGTTCGGCAAACGGGATCCGTGGCAGCGAGTAGTAGTGACAGAGATTGGCGTCGTCAGCTCGACTTCCTGAGGGCAGGTCTAACAGGGACCAAGGCAGTGTGCCTGAGCCCGGATAAAGGTTCCAGGCTGCCCAGCCTGAGCCGCAAAGTGAGCGTGAACTTAGAGGACTGTCCCATTTGTTTGGAGCCGCTGCGGCCACCGAAGCAGATGCACGTGCCTCTAATCCCTCTTCCATGTGGGCATTCCTTTCATGCCGCTTGCGCGTGCACGCCTCAGTTGCCCAGCAATAACCGGCGTTGCGAGGGACGTTCGCAGACAGGAGCATGCATGTCATCCGGAGTTGTCCAGCTCAGGTCCCAGTGGCTTCAGAAGTGTCCGCGATGTCCAATGTGCAGGCACTCCCCATTCATGCCCATGCAGAGTGAGGCAGAAGGTGGTGGCTCCCCACCGAATCTTGTGGATGATAGCCTGCAGGGTGTGAGCTGATAGCCCAACCCCCCTGGCAAGCGCTTGCAGACGAACCGTGGTTTCACCAACGCACTGCAGTCCTTTCACGAAAAGTCTGTGGAGTGTGCTAGATCGATGGACGCGCCAAAATTCTCAAACACACCAGCATCTTGCCTTGTGATGCCTTTGCATCTAGGCCTTCGACTCAGCACGCGCCCTTAGAATGAGGCATGTGGGTCAAGTGTGTGCCATGATCGGGGGTACACGTTCTCACCGTAGACGTTCCCCTTGTCAGGTCTTTGTCCTTGTTCGCTCCCATGACAAACGGGTTTCTGGAGACGAGACTGTGGAGTTCATGGAGGCTGCAGCTGTCTTGCGGTGGCTGAGTCCCCTTCGCCTCCATATGCCTCCATGAGTCACAGGTGTTTGCGGCATTTGTGGCTGGGTCCGCACAAGCTGATGCAGAAAGGAGTTTCTGCAGAGTGCCTGAGCCACAGCGAGCACTGCGAGCACGGGGCAGGCCCCAAGGTCTTCTTGAGGTGTATGATGTGCTTGCCCAGGCCTGATAGACGATGCGGGCTTGCAGTCAGTCGTGGAGACTTGCAGCATGCTTCGGGACCAGCAGTCGAGAGAGGGGGGTGGGGGCGTGCCCTGGTGCCTTGCTCTGAAAGTGAATTGCGCAGCTGCGCAACTGCACGAATGCAAATGTAGGACTTCACCGTCGCGTCCCACCGCATCACAGATGAAGGGGTTCGACTTGTGCTGTCAGCATGTCGCCTCTAAGATGCACCTGAGCGGGAAGTAGTTGCAAGCTTGTTAGGAAGCACAAAATCTGTTGTCCGGAAGAATCGCATAGGTGAGCTCTGTCGGCTGCGATGTGGCGGCTGTGGAATCACAGTCGGCCACTCAGAAGCTATTACATGGAGTGTAGGCATATGCGGCATATTCACAACCTTCGGAAAGTGCTTTGAAGGACGCTTCCTTGCGGTTCCTGGCAACGTTAACGCAGCCACGGCTGGAACGCTTCTCGAGCATGCCCCAGTCTGGGCAAGCGTGTCCGCGTGGAAAAAATGACTAAGACATGGCTTCCGACGAGTCACTGAGGCTGTGGTTTTCAGGTGTCACCTCGCACGGGCTGCACCAAGCCGAAGAAAACATGCCAGAGCCTCAGTGCTTGCACCAGCAGGCCACAGCAGATTCCACATTTGTGGCGTAGCGGTCCTCGCTTGTCTGAGTCGCACCATCTCTGTTTCAGGCCTTGGACATATTTCGACGTGGACATCTCTTGAGTGCGGCAAAAGACCAGCAATCATCCGAGTAGAGGTGTATTGAGGGCGCGGCAGTAATGCACGAGGGCCATGCTGAATTGTTTTCGGTGACAGCTGGTGCTCAGCAAACCTTATAGTGAGACACCGCAGAAACAGGTCGTTTCTGTACTGATACAAAGACTAGCCTGTACTCTGCTAGGCCCCTGACAAGCATGCAGTGCCCGAACATGCAAGGCTTTGGTTGCATCGTTTGCATTCCTTCCCGTAGGTGTTTTAGATGGCCTGAACAGATGTTGTACGGCCCGCCGGCTGATGGCGGGGCTACATGACGAAAGCAGCGAACCGCCGCGCTTGGCATCGGACACCAATGCCGAGGTGGGTCTGCAACTCAAGTCGCGTACGGGGATTTGCGCAACCTCGGTGCAGGTGCTGCCCTCGCGACGGGAAAAGGCACCGAAAGCTGCTCCTGAGGCGGAGGAGGTCAAGAAGATGAGCAAGCGCAAGAAGAGGAAGCTGGACCCTGGCTCGGGCTCGGGATGGAGCGTGCAAGCTCTTGAATTCAAAGGGCTGGCTTGACCAAGGAGCAACTTGCACAGAAACAGGCAAGCAAGGAGTTAAGGACTCAAGTTCTGGAAGAGTTGAAGGTCGGCTCCTTGCATCCATGATCTTTGGTTCTTGCCCGATTGGAAGCACCAAGTGGGCCGAACAGCTGCTTTGCTTGGGCGGAGGCCGTTCAATTGACGGCAGAGCAAGCTGAACTTCTCCGAGCCTCCCAGAGCACGAGGCTGCGATCGAAAAAGGGCCTAGACTCCTGGAAAAACTGCCCCTTGACTTTGACTGTCATTGTCATTGGAGCAGGTTGTCCAAAAGACAGCAGAAGGCCATGGCTCAGCGCCGTGCCCAGTTGGGCGTGCCTCTGACATCCGACATGAAGGTGCCGCATCTTCTGTGGCCTTGAAGAAGTGAAGCTGAGAAGCTGCGCGTCCTTGAAGCTTTCGGTTTTCACACAGCAGGACAAGCTCAAACGACGGCCCCGTCAGCAGAGACGTCACGAAGATGGAGAAGACGAGGCTGTTGAGCGAGCGGTTCGATGTTTCTCTCGCCTACCCTAACCGTCTTAGTCTTCTCACTCGGTGCAAGGAGGGCAGCGTCGATGCCGAAGGTGATGAGGCAATGTCCGACTCTAACTTTCTAACTAGTTGAGGGGTGGTTGCAGTGGGTGGGTGGGTGGCGCTGGCGCAAGGTGTCCAGCGAGGACGAGGGTTTGGCCCCAGGCAGCTCGACGAAAGGTGCGGGTACTTCAACGACCTCCACGCCAGAGGCCGGCGATCATATCACAATCACATCAGGCCAACGAAACAACAGATTGCGCTTACACGCCAGGCAAGTACAGCTCCACTCCTGGGCATGGCAAGGCTTTTGCCCAGAGCTGGCCCTATAGTCGTAGCCAAGCCAGTGCCGACAGCGCAGGCCAGGCCCATCAGCCAAGGCGAAGCCAAAGGTGAAGCCAAAGGCGAAGGCCTTTTTTTGCTCCTCTGTGGAGCACGGACTGCGGACACATTGTCCTTCCTTGTAGGCCGAGGCCAAAGCGCCGGCATCTGCTCCGCAGCCTTTGATACCAGTCGGATCCTCAAACTGAGCCGACTGGCCTCAATGGGGTTGTGGCATGTCTTCGAGAGAGGTGCGTGTGCAGCGGACGGCCAGCATCGAGGACTGGCGCCCGAAGACATGTCAGATCGCGTGAGCAGGCCATGCTGGATTCCCGGTTTGTCGGATGCTAGCAGGAGCAACGGGCGAGGCTGCCAGCAGTAATGATGGAGCCAGGGCCTTGTTAAGGAGTCGACCACAGCACGTGCGGCTGTCGGAAAAGACGGAAGCAGGCAGGAGTTTGTCGAGATGGTCTTGAGCAACGATGTGATGTTAGCCGGGGCCTCGGGGGCTCGCAGCTTGGAGATCTCGGAATCAAACCGTGCAGGTCTGCGGAGACACGGGCTGTGGCAAATCCACACAGGCTGCGCCGCAAAAAACGGGACCGGTGTTCCCTTCCACTCTTCTCTTGTGCCTTGAGGTGCCGCAGTTTCTTTACGAGCGGGAACCCGAGCTTGGCTGACTGTCTTGTAACTTTAGCATATCATATCTCATCTCTACCTGCTCTTCTAGATGACGATCGACGGCTTTTGAGGGTCCTTCAAGGCACTACTTCGGGAGGTTTGCCATGCCATGGCGCCCTTAGAGACTCGAGCACACTCTGACGCAGACAGTTGACAGAGGGTCAGTTCAAAAATTCCTGAACAAAAAGTTAGGACGATCCAGTTAGATGAGTGCATATGTGGAATTGCTGCATGGGCCTGGTCGATGTGCGCGCTGGCGCTGTCTCAGTCTGCTGCCAAGCAGCTGCCGAGACTGGAAGATGCACGTGAGCTCTTCGCATCGCACCTGCCATGTCCACCAGAGCAGCTCCGGCGTGTGTACCTGCGACTCGCTCTGCTGTACCACCCGGACAAATGCTCGCCAGAGGACCTGATTGGGCAACGGGGCTTGAAGTCGGGGTTTATATTTGGAAGGAAGTTTTACAAGAGCCAGGAGCAGCGGGAAGCCACCGAGCTCTTCCAGGCCATCGCCGCCGCATACGAAGAGTTGCTTCAGCCAGAACCTGGGCAGCTGCGCCGTGTCAAGAGTCGGGTGGCTGCCGCAGCAGAGTGGCCATCACTGAACAGAGCAGAAGCTTTTGCAGTGTAGTTCCTTTCCCATCACCAAGTGACAGAAGCCATGCAGCGGCAGAAACCGAGGCTGGGAGAGATACAGGAGCTGCGCAGGCTCCTGGAGGAAGATGCTGGCAGAGCCACGGAGCTGGACGACCTTGGCGTCTGTCCGCTGATGTTTGCATGTGCGGGTGGATGCCTGGAGGCTGTCCGCCTTCTTGCCGAGTTCCAGGCCGACGTCCATGCCAAGAACCCTATTAACTGGTCGGTGCTGCTATATGCATCGCTGGGAAATCATGCGCACGTGGTGAAGTGGCTGGTGGAACAGGGTGTGGAAGTGACTTCTCATGAGCTGGTGCTGGCAGCCTATACTGGAAACTCAGTCAGCCTGGCAGCGCTGCTAGACCGGTACAAATGGTCGGTGCCGGACCTGCGCACCGAAAGTGGTAAGTCACTCTTGCACCTGGCCTGTGAGGGTATGTGCTTCCTCAAGCGCCCAGCAGAAGATCATGCACGTTGCGTGGACCTTGTTCTTCAGCGGCGCATCGCGATAGATCAGGCAGAGCCCAAACAAGGCCGGTCGTGCTTGCAAAACTACGTGCCTTGGCTGAAATGGCTGAAGTCGCTTTGTCTTCAAGTGTCCTGTGGGCGCAAGATCGAGCCGTTCCAGGTAGATGACGTCCGCTGGACCACTCGGAACTTTGAGGCCTCCGACGCTCACATGTGGGCACTGGAGAGGCTTTGTGAAGAAGGAGCCGTGGAGATCTGTACCTGCCGTACCTGCAATCTTTCCTGTCAAGGGTTGAGTACTGCAGTCCTTTCAGGAGCAAGTGTGAGCCGGGAGGATTCTGCAGGACACAGTGCGCTGTCGTTGGCTGACGCCAATGGCCTGAAGAAAGTGAGAGAAATCCTCTTCATGTACGTGTAGCAGCACGAAGACAGTGGGCGAACACTAGATTGGTGTTCTGTTCGTGTGTCTTAAGTGATACTCGTGGACCAGTGGAACTAGCATCTCACTGGGAGCGAGAGCAACGGGCCCTTGACGATGCAGCACACCAGGCGTATGTTGGATGCCGGCTTCTGTGAGAATGAATTCTGAGATCCAGTGACTTTCGCTCACACGGCTCTATTGGTCAAAGTCCGCACAGCTATGCAGCATGTAGGCCGCTCTTCCGACGAAGCGGAAGCATGCCACCAAATGGCTGTAGGTGTGGCATCTGTAATGGCGATGAGAGCTTAATCGGCGTGACTCAACCACGCCGTGTGGGGTCCTGAGTGTGTCGGCGCTGTGTGTCACGGAGTTGAACGGACCTACATCGCGAGACATTCAGGTTGCCGCGATCTCCGTCTCACAGCCCTTGTCTCAGCGACGATTTCTGGAATCATCAAATGCCCGCATGATGTCTCGGCAGGCGAGTGGGCCAGGAGTTAAACCAGTCAGAGAGGGTTGGTTACCAGGCTCCTAATTATGCAGATAAAACGGGTTGTTTGCTCCGTGATGCTTGGCAAAGAATCGAAGTTGTTGGCAGGTCAGATACGACAAGAGCTACAGCACGAAGGATACGCGCATCAAGTTCATGACGGATGGAATTCTGCTGCGGGAGGCCTTGCATGTAGCTCCCTCAACGCAAGGTAGGGCCCAGATTCAGTGACCAGGTGCAGGCGGATTTTCTTTGCCGCAAGTACGCGGCAATCGTCATCGACGAAGCCTGGCCATGGGTAACGGGCCCCTTGAGTTCGTTCACACATGCGTGCATTCATACAGCCATGCATAAATTTATCCAAACATCCATCCATTTATCACCATTATCCATCCATCCATCCTTCCATCCTTCCATCGAACGATCGATCCATCAACCCATAATCTAATCTACCTACCTACCTACCTACCTACCTACCGACCGACCGACCGACCGACCGACCGACCGACCGACCTACCTCCCTACCTACCTACC